AAAAGTGTAAAAAACACAAAATACATTAAAAAAACGTGTTAAAAACATGTGTGCAAAAACACAAAATGCACCAAAAAAGCACTGCAGAAAAGGACAAAATGCAAACTGCATTGGTGTGAACCTACACAGACATTAGAAGAAGCAAGCAGGAGAAATCACAATGCAAGGTTCGGGAGCAGGTAAAACACTGGCATAGTTGCCAACATTTCAAAAAAATTTTTAGGGACACATTTTTTTCTGTAAGTCCAGAAAGCCAGTGTAGGAGGAGCAGTGTGTTAATTAGGTTTGGGACATTAATTTATGGGTGTGGTTTACTCTAGAAGAGAAAGATCGTGGGGTGCGAAGCGGGCCGTGCCGAAAAAAATGAGCATGGATTAAATAATGCTAAATATTGGTTGTGGCTTAAAACAGGTGTGATTAAATAGAGTGAGATTTTCTTGGGCTCCCTCCCATACAATTTTGCTCTCCACCACAACATCCCAAAAAACAAATAAACACACACATAGACCTAAACAAAAAGAACTGGTCCACAATCACTGATTGGTTGCTGGAGGTTACAGCACATCATTACTGCTCACTGATTGGTTTAGAGACGTTATTGCACATAATTACCACTCACTGATTGTTTGCTAGAAGTTCCTGCAGTTAGTATAGGAGAGGGTCAGAGACTGCAGGCATAGTACAGGAGAGGGTCAGAGACTGCAGGAGTAGTACAGGAGAGGGTCAGAGACTGCAGACCTAGTACAGGAGTTGGTCAGAGACTGCAAACGTAGTACAAGAGATGGTCATAGACTGCAGGCGTAGTACAAGAAAGGGTCAGAGACTGCAGGCGTACTACAAGAAAGGGTCAGAGACTGCAGGCATACTACAAGAAAGGGTTGTCGACTGCAGGAGTACTACAGGAGAGGGTTAGAGACTGCAGGCGTACTACAGGAGAGGGTTAGAAATTGCATGCGTACCACAGGAGAGGGTCAGAGACTGCAGGCTCCGTGATCTGCACAGAGTTTCGGGACTCAGCCCAGGACAAGGTCAGGCCGGGACAGCTGTCAAATTTCTGTGACTGTCCTGGCCAATTCGTGACTGTTGGCAACTATGCACTGGATATCTGCAGTGCATAGGAGTTTTAAGACATAGGCCCCTTGAAAGGTAAACATAGTGTACATGTTTTTTTTTTTTTTTTATGAAAGGTAGCTTTAGTTTAATTTGCTCTAGTTACTCATAGGGCTGCTTTAATAAAAAAAAAAGTCATAGTATGGTATTATCCCCATTTAGAGTTATCATTTTTGTTATATTTTACTATAGTGAACAGGAAACATGAATTAATTATAAAGTTAAAAAGTGTTGGACTGTGTGTTTTATTTACTGCTACTAATGCTTGTGTCTGTTATGGGGATGAGTTTTGGATTTGGAGCAATGCAGGATTCAACACATATTTTGATTGTTCAGCATTCATAAGCCAGCCTGAACATTCTGCTGCAAAGGCAGAGCAACATTATTTATTTATTGGTGATATTATTACAGTAAATAAATTAATACTTCCTGCAGTGCAGGTTGCACAACATGATTGGTTGCAAAGATGCTCGCAGCCATCTTCATCTAGCAACCACTGCCTGTTGGCTTGTAAACAAGCCAGATGGCTTCCTGGGAGACATCATTGATCAAATATGGTCATGATCATATTTGCTCAATGACATCAAACAGCTCCCGGCCCTTTTGTTTGCAATCAGTTGGGAGCTGACATTTGCAGCATTTTTTTTGTAATTTAAAAAAAAAAATGTGTCTTAAAAAAAAAAAAAAAGAAGCCAAAAGAAATATGAATTTTAACTAGTTCTAGCCTGGTTTAATTCTTACTTTTCACTCATACATGTAAAAATCAGCATTTGTTTCCTAGAAAATAACTTAGAACCGCCAAACATTAAATTATTAATATATATATATATATATATATATATATATATATATATATATATATATTTTTTTTTTTTTTTAAGCAGAGACACTGAAGAATATAGTGGGTGCTGTTGCAATTTGTCATGTTGTATAATATTTGTACAGCAGTTTATCAAAGGCAAATTTTCAGGAACAAATATACTTTAATGCATTTTAGTGAACACAAACACAATATAATAAACTTTTTTTTGGTAAAACATAATCCATGATGTTACACTGAGTAAATAGATACCTAACATGTCATGCTTTAAAAACTATGGTAGCTAAAACTCTCCATAGGCGACAATTTAAAAGCCTTTACATGTTACCATCTCTTCTCACATGCCGGCTCTGACGGTGAAGGACCACTCACCTGGCTGCAGGTCACTTGCCCAGCTACTTCTGCCTGAACAGGTGTGCTCTCTGTGAGCTGCTGAAGGGAGGGAGCTGAGGAATTTAGTTTCCCTATGCATGTGCAGGAACCCAGGGAGTTTTGGGAAATGGAGTTAAAGAGTCCTGCATGGCTAGTGTGTAAGTTTTGCAGTCTTTGGTAAGGGTGTGGTTGGTACTTCTAGGAACATAGTTTTCAGTGATATTAAAGCGCAACGTCACTGTACCTGAGCACCACAACCTAAAACAGTATTGATTCCATTTTTAATATTAAAAACAAACTCCCCCATCAATCCATGTCTCCATGCTTTATTTGCTAAGAAATCAGTAAGGGCAGATGATTCATGTAGCACTTACTTCCTGGAATCCATATGCCCTTAGCTCAGGCATGCAGGCAGGAGGGTGTGCTTAGTATGACAGCATTTGCCTAGGCATAGAATACTGGACATAACTGAAGAAATGTAAAAAAAAAAAAAGTTTAAAACAAGTAAATATGATATACTTTCCTATCCAGAGACGGACTGAGCATTCGGGCATTGCCCAAGGACTCGGGGTCAGTAGGGGGCCTCATGAGAGGCTCCACAGATGTCATACAGTGGCAATATATTTAGGTCTGTCTGAAAAATATGTCTGCCTCAAAATCCGGACACATTATTCAGACAGGAATGTGGCTAACAGCTGGACCTGGCAGGATGGAGTAGAGGAGAGGACTGCCGGTGGAGAGGAGTGTGGGGAGCGAAGGAGGAGGCAGTCTCAGATCCCAGATCCCAGAAGTAGTTCACCTTTCACTTCATGTGGTGGCAGAGTGAGTCGGGGTCCCAGGCAGTGGTAGTGCCTAGCTACACACTGCTTGTGATGGAGCCCGTGGTCAGTGGGAAAACGAGAGGCAGTGGCATATCATCCATGAGTGTCAGGTGTTCAATGCACACACCCTGCACCCATGGATGACATGTATCAGAAGCAAAGTCAAGGGTGATAGGTGCAGCGGAGGGGACAGTTACATGCACCAATCTCCCTGTATGGCTTTCAATGAAGCAGCTGAAAGCCGCAGGAGGAAGAGGAGGAGAGGTGGCTTCTAGCCGGTTCATTGAAAGCCATACAGGGAGATTGCTACTTGTAACTGTTCCTCCACTGCACTGATCATCCCTGACTTTGCATCAGATTTCCCTTCTGGGCCGCACTGTTTGCTCCTCAGTTCCCCCGCAGGTCTCTGATGCCTTGTCTTCTCTGACAGTGCCCAGCCCCTCCCCCCATCCTCCACAACAATGGCAGAGCAGAGGAGAGAGCCCAGATCTGCTCTGCCTCCCCTGTCCCCACCCACACTCCAGTCCATGCAACGTCTGAGAAGATGTGTGGGAAAATTGTGTCCAGATCAGCTGGCAGCTCTGTGATGCTTCTGAATGTGCCAGTAAGCTGGGAACCATCCACGTGTTGTCCTTCCCTCCTTCCTCCATCCATTCCCTTCCTTCCTTCATTATTTCCTTCCTTCCTCCCTCCTGCCCCTCCTTTCCTTACTTCCCTTCCTTCATTTCTTCCTTCCTCTATCCATTCTCTTCTTCCTTCCTTCCTCCTCTCCCCTCTTTCCTTCCTTCCTTTCCTTCATTCCTTTCTTTCTCCATCCATTCCCTTCTTTCTCTCTTTCTTTTCTTCCATCCCTTTCTCCATCTATTCCCTCCCTCCCTTTTCTTCCTTCCTCCATCCCCTTCCTTCCCTTCCTCCATTCCCTCCTTCTTTCCTTCCTCCATTCCTTCCCTCGTTTTTTTTTCCTTCCTTCCTTCCCTTCTTCCCTCCCTTCCTTTCCTTCCTTCCTTCATTCCCTTCCCTTCTTTCTTTCTCCTGCCCCACCTTTCCTTCCTTCTTTTCTCCTTCCACCATCACCTTCCATCCCTTTCTTCCTCCATCCCCTCCTTTCTTCCTTCCTCCATTCCCTCTTTCCTTCTTTCCCTTCCTTCATTCCTTCCTTCCTTCCTCCATCCATCCCTTTCGTTCCTTCCTCCATACATTCCCTCCCTGCCTTTTCTTCCTCCACTCCCTTCCTTCCCCCATCACCTTCTTTCCTCTCTTCCTTATTCCTTCCTCCATTCCTTCCCTTCATTTCTCCCTCTTGTCCCTTATTTCCTTCCTTCATTCCTTCCTTCTTCCATCCATCCATTCCCTTCCTTCCTCTCTTCCTTCCTCCATGCCCTTACTTCACTTCCTCCATTCCCTCCTTCATTCCTTCCTTTTCTTCCTTCCCTTCCTTCCTCCACCCCCCCTTTCTTCTTTCTTCCCTTCCCTCCCCTCCTTTCCTTCCTCCATTCCCTCCCTTCCTAATCCATTCCCTTCCTTCCTCCATCCATTCCCTTCATTCCTTCCTTCTTTCTTCCTTCCTCTCCTTCCTTTCCTCCTCTATCCATTCCCTCCTCTTTTTTCTTCCTTCCTCCATCCTTCCTTCCTCTTCCTTTCTTTCTTCCTCCATCCCCTTCCTTCCCTCCTTCCTTCCTCCACTCCCTCCCTTTTCTTCCTTCCACCCTTCTGTCAGGAATGGACTCAGCACTGGTGGTGGGACTCACCTGCCATTTGGCTGCAGTACCAGGGCTGACCAGCGGGGTGCTCTCAGCAGCCAGAAGCTCAATCCTGCAGTCAGCCAACACCTGGGGCTGATTGAGGGAGGTGTATTTAAGGAATGACCAGACCTGTGATCAGGGCCTTGGTGTATGTTTTCCCATGAGCCCCTGTATCGTGTATCCTGTTCCTCTGCCTGTCTGATCCTGACCTCTGCTGATCGTCTCATATTTAACCCGGCTTGTGACCCTGACCATTCTCTGCCTGATCCTTTGTACCGCGCTGCCCGTGAGTTACTGAATCCAGCTTGTGACCCTGACCATTCTCTGCCTGCTCCTTCGGTACCTTGCTGCCCGCACGTTGCTGACCTGGCCCGTCTGACCACGCTAACTACTCTGCCATCCATCCATCCTGCACGAATCCAGCCGTCCCTGCTCACACCTGCCTCTTCACATCAGGCTTCCTACCTGCACATACCTCTGGCGGATCCCTCTACCACTAGCAGGTGTACTCAGGGGCCGCGACCTGGTTCCTGTCTGCTCCAAGTCCATCCCCACCATCAGGGGCCCTGGTGAATAAGCAGACTGGGACTTAGACTCCGTGCCCTGGGGAATCCTGTCCTGAGGACCGCTAGAGGTACCACAAGACGGTCGTTACAGAACCCTACGGCCAGCCTGACCATTCCACCTCTCCAGCCCTGACTACGCCTGTGTTCCTGCACCTACTAAGATTAGTGGTAGGTTGGTTTGTTCACTGTGCGTTTATATATATATATATATATATATATATATATATATATATATATATATCTCTATCTGGATGGCTAATAATAAACTGTATTATTATACTATACCTGAAACCTGCGTTTCCCTGTGTCAGTCCACACCTTTCTGGTCATTCCTAGATTCCTGACACCTTCCCTTCCTTCTTTCTTCCCTCCCTCCCTTCCTTTCCTTTCCTTCCTCCATTCCCTTCCTTCCTTTATCCCTCCCACCCCTCCTTTCCTTCCTTCCCTCCCCTTCCTTCATCCTTTACCTTCCTTCTTTCCTCTATCCATTTCCTTCCTTCCTCTCTCCATCCATTCCCTTCCTCCTCCCCTTTTCTTCCATCCCTTCCTTCCTCCAACCCCTCCCCTTCTTTCTTTCTTTCTCTCCTCCCTCCCCTCCTTTCCTTGCTTCCCACCCTATCCTTCATTCCTTTCTCCATCCATTTCCTTCCTTCCTTCCATCCTCCCCTCTTTTCCTTCCTTCCTCCCCTCCTTCCTTGCTTTCCTCCATCCATTCCCTCCCTCCCTCCTTTTTCATTTTGCCTTCCTTCTTCTCTTCCTTCCTCCATCCCCTTCCTTCATCCATTCCTTCCTCCCACCCTTCCCTTCCTTTCCTCTATCCATTCCCTTATTTCTTTCTTTCCTCTATCCATTTCCTTTCTTCCTTCATTTCTTCCTTCCTCCCTCCATCCATCCTCCCTCCCTCCTCTCTTTTCTTCCTTCCCTTCCTTCCTCCAACTCCTCCTCCCTTCTTTCTTTTCTCCCTCCCCTCCCTTCATTCCTTTCTCCATCCATTTACTTCCTTCCTCCATCCCCTCTTTTCCTTCCTCCCTCCCCTTCTTTCCCTTTCTTCCTTCTGTCCCCTTCCTTCCCATCATTCTTCCATCCCCTTCCTTCCCTTCATTCCTCCATCCCCTTCCTTTCTTCTTTCCCCCCTCCCACTCCTTTTCTTCCTTCCTCCATCTCATTGCTTCCTCTCTTCCTTTTTCTTCCTCGATTCCCTTCCTTCCCTCCCTAAATTCCATCCTTCTTTCCTTCCTTCCTCCATACCCTCCCTTCCTTACTCCCACCCCTCCTTTCCTTCATTACTTCCTTCATTCATTCCCTTCCTTCTTAGCACTATACATTTCCTTCCTTCCTTCCTCCCCCCATCCATTCCCTCCCTCCTCCAGTTTTTCTTCCTTCCCTTTCTTCCTCCAACCCCTCCCTTCTTTCTTTCCTCCCTCCCCTCTTTTCCTTGCTTCCCTCCCCTTCCTTCATTCCTTTCTCCATCCATTTCCTTCCTTCCTCCATCCCCTTTTTTCCTTTCTCCCTCCCCTCCTTTCCATTCCTTCCATCCATTCCCTTCCTTCCCTCCCCTCCTTCCTTCTTTTCCTTTCCTCCATCCATTCCCTCCGTTTTCATCTTTCCTTCCCCTTCCTTCTTCTTTTCCTTTCTTCCTTCCTCCATCTCCTTCCGTCCTCTCTTCCTTTCTTCCTTCATCCATTCCTTCCTTCCTCCATACCCGTCCTTCCTTCCTTCCTCCCACCCCCCCTTTCCTTCCCTTTCTTCCTTCCTCTCTCCATTCATTCCCTCCCTCCTCCTCTTTTCTTTATTCCTTTCCTTCCTCCAACCTCTCCCTTCTTTCTTTCCTCTCTCCCTCTCCTCCTTTCCTACCCCTTGCTTCATTCCTTTCTCCATCCATTCCCTTCCTTCCTCCCTCCCATCCTTTCCCTTCTTTCCTCCATCCCCTTCCTTCCTCCATCCCTCCCTTTCTTCTTTCCTCCCTCTCCCCCTCCCCTCCTTTCCTTCCTTCCTCCATACCATTCCTTCCTCTCTTAATTTTTCTTCCTCCATCCCCTTCCTTCCCTCCCTAAATTCCCTCCTTCTTTCCTTCCTTCCTCCATACCCTCCCTTCCTTCCTCCCACCCTTCCTTTCCTTCCTTCATTACTTCCTTCATCCATCCCATTCCTTCTTTCATCTATCCATTTCCTTTCTTCTTTCCTCCCCCCATCCATTCCCCTCCCTCCTCTCTTTTCTTCCTTCCCTTCCTTTTTTTTTTTTTTTTAATTTAAATATTTATTAAATTTTTTCATATTAATACAAAAACCCAAAAAGGGAAATAATTCTCATACAAGTATACAATTATATAACATTTCTACCTTTCCCTTACTAAAAACTCTTTTCCTTCCCGTCCCACCCCCCCCCCCCCCCCCCCCCCCGCCCCTCCCCCCTCCTCCCCCTCTGCAGACTCTAACCCTTTCTAATTTCTTGAGGCTTATTAAAAACTTTTTTTTTTTTTTTTTGCTAACATCCTAGTTCATATCTTCCTATATTTCTCTTTCAATCCTGCTCTTTCCCATTTTTTTCCCATCTCCTGGAATAAACTCCCATCCTATCTTCTTGCATATGGTATGCTCTTTCCATTCTACCTATCTGGTTTATTCTATTAATCCAGTCTACCTCCTTCGGTACCTCAGCTTTCCGCCAAAACTTGGGTATCAACCTTTCGCCGCATTCAAGAAGTACCAAATACCTGAATCTTTATATTTATTTACAGATGTCTCCACATTGTGTAGGAGGCACGTCGTTGGGTCTAATCTTATGTCAATTTCAGTTATTTCTTCAATTAATTTAACTATTATCTTCCAAAAAGCCTGGATTTTCGGACATTCCCACCATATGTGAAACACCGTGCCTATCTCTCCACATCCTCTCCAACACATATTTGAGTTTTCCCCCCCGTTCATCTTGTGCTCTACACTCGGTGTAATGTGCCATCGTGTCACACACTTATAATTAACCTCAACCTCTCTCATACTAACATTATCGTGTATCAATCTAAACATCTTTCTCTGTCTATCTTCATCAAACCCAACTCCCATATCCCTTTCCCATTTTGTCATAAAAATTAACTTTGTGTTTGTGTCTAATTCTGTGAGTATTCTATACACTTTTGAGATACCGTGCTTCCCATCCCTTCGTGCCTCTAACAACCTTTCAAACAAATTCCACTCTGTTTTATTCTCAGGGGTTTCGGTAGATTTCCAATAAAACTTTTCAATTGATGATATTTTCCACTCATCTATTCTAATAAAAATATCTCCCTTCTTCTCCATTAACTCTTTAAGTGATCTCAATTCTCCCTCCACCAAAACATCTCTCAATTGGGTATCCTCCTTTCTAAACCATCTCCCTGATATCTTTTTCTTTCCCGGGGGGAAGTACTCAGTATTTGTGAGAGGCATTAATATAGAATAAATTCCCCCCTTTTCATGTTCTTGTGTAAATTGTCCCATACCCTAAAGACATTTAAAGTGTAGATACTTGTGCTTTCTTTAATTCCCCTAAACTGTGGTGGAACCCATATCATCTGACTCAATCTATTGCCACTAAGATCATTTTCTTCCCTTGTTACCCAACTTTTCCCCTTATGGTTAAATGTCTGTTTTCATATTCTTGCTAAAACCACTGCTTTATAGTATCTCTTGACATCTGGTAGGCCCAATCCCCCTTTCTCTTTAGTCCTACTCAAAGTTTCATATGCTATTCTAGGTTTTTTATTCTTTCCAAATATATCTTATTTTTTTTTTTTCATTATCTTAAAGAAGGCTTCTGGAATTTTAATTGGTACCATTTGAAATCTATACAGTATTTTAGGCATAATTACCATTTTGACTAGGTTTATACTTTTCCTATCCAGGATGGATTTCCTCCTTCTAGTCTTTTTTAGATCTTCCCTGATCTCATTTATCAAAGAGATATAGTTTAATCTATACAAATGCTTAGCTGAGGCAGTTTTTTATTCCTAGGTATTTTATCTTTTTTTCTCTCCATATAAAGGGGAATTCTTTTTTAGTTTTTCTTTTTCATTCTTTGGTATTTTAATATTCAGGATCTCTGTTTTCGTTGGATTAATTTTTAAATTTGATAGTTCACCCATACTCCTTCAGAATCTTCATTATATTTGGGAGAGTTATTCGGGGATTCCCCACATAGAACAATAAGTCGTCCGCAAAGGCCGCTACCTATTTCTATGGATTCTATCTGAATTCCCTTAACCGTTCCACTATTTCTTATTATTGACAACAGAGGTTCGAGTGACAATACATATAGCAGAGGGGACAGTGGACAGCCCTGTCTTGTACCATTAGACATTCCGATGGGTTCTGATCTCTCCCCATTTACCGTGATAATTGCAGTAGGCTTTTCCTATATAATTTACTTATCCTTTTCTCGCATTCTATCACCTATCCCCAGCACTTTTAAGTTGTCCATCATGAAGCCCCAGTCCACTCTATCGAATGCCTTTTCTGCATCAATTGACAAGAGCACCACCGTACTTTTTCCCTTTTCTACTTTTCTGAATAAGCATCAGGGTTCTCCAAGCCATTATCTCCTACTCTTCTCTCCCCTTACAAAGCCCACCTGGTCTCCATGGATCCATTCAGGCATCAGATCCCTCAACCTTTTTGCTAACACCTTGCATACAGTTTAGTATCTACGTTCAATAATTTTTCTATAGCTGGAGCACTGAGATGGATCTTTCCCTCCTTGTGAATAAGTACTACATGGGCCTGTAGGGATTCTCTCCTCACTTTCCATCCCACCTCCCAGAGCATTCATATATTTCTCCAACTTTTTGGGTAGCAGTACTTCACTAAATTTCTTATAGTACTTAACTGTATATCCATCCGGGCCTGGGCTTCCCCCCCCCCCCGTGCTTCTTAA